TTCAAATGACTCTTAAATCGAAAAGCTACCCGACTGATTTAAAGTGACACTCTGTTAACCTTTGTCCGAGTGAAATGATGGAGAAATTATTGTTTTTATCTGAAAATTGTTGAATTTCCATCACAGTTACTCTTCACAGATGAATTTTGAAATCATGAGACAACGACAATAAAGGATATCAACAAAATTAACGTAATTTTAAAAATAAGAAAACATCGATATCTTTATTATTGTTTCTCAAATTAAAGGGTTAAAGGGTTAAAGGGTTAACAGGGTTAAAGGGTTAAAGGTTTAAAGGGTTAAAGGGTTAAAGGTTTAAAAGTTTAAAAGTTTAAAGGGTTAAAGGGTTAAAGGGTTAAAGGGTTAAAGGTTTAAAGGGTTAAAGGGTTAAAGGGTAAAGGCTTAAGGGGTACGGTTGTATTGATATTCCCTTTCATATTACGTCAAATCATACATTTATTTACCTAAGCACAGCTCCAATGTTTTTCAATGTAGAAAAACAATCTTGACTTGTTGATGCAAGATTCCAAATCAGGAGGAAATATGATAGGGCCAGCAAACAAGATACAGGATTAAAGTCTACAGCAACAAGCCAATAAGCTTGAAAAATTATGAATGTTATATGTATCAAATAGTTTAATACATAGGAAAATCCAAGTCCCTGTTCCAGGTTTTCGTAAGCAGTCACAAGAAAGATGGATTCCTTGATCAGAATCGTGTTGTCTGAGATCTCATTAAATTTGTTGCATCTGTTAATAAATGTACTGGTATATATATTAACTAGAATAATAACCAAAGAATAATTGATGAAATATACAGCGGTTAGCATGCTATGAATAAGAACAAACTCTGGTTGTGTTTTCATTGTTAAATTTAAAATATTTCCAACTAACCACAGCAGAATGCACAAGGAAATTTCGAATTTTCTCCTTGGCAGTGTCATTGAGATTGTTGAGATAGTATTGCATCTAGCAACTAAATATCCCATGCTTGGACTTGTTGTTAAATACGAGATAAACAAAAGAAGAAATGATAGAGAAACTGCTATGGTTGTTGACGTCCCTATTGTAGAGAGACTAATGAGAGAAGGATTTATGGAATGTCCTAACATAATAGAAGGTATAACTGACCAGACCAGAAAACTGATGAAAAACCTGAAGGAACACAACTTCAGATGAAACTCTCCATTTCTCTTAATTTGAACCGGAATCAAGAGGATTTTGATGAATATGTTGAGAACTCTTGCTATAGGAGTTCTTGATGTCATGTCAGCCAGTTCTTCCTTAGAACCATTCATTACTTTTACACTGGTCATGTTTTTATTTATCAAACTTACTGAACAGCTAGTCCTAGACTGAGCGATACATTCACCATTTGTTAGCCAAAATGACATTGATTAAATAGGGGGGGGGGGGGGGGGGGAAGTTCAAGAAAATTTTTTTATTTCTTTTTTTCCTTTTCAGTTTCTAAATATTAGCTTATTTTTATTCCAGATATTTTAAACTTTTTGATGCTTCCCATGATTATTGGTTGTTATAACTTATATGTGCGCAAAATATCTTGAAAGCTTTGCATGCCTTAATGTATGCATGCACAATGAAATTGGCACTTTAACGAGCTTTTCATGGAAATTATTTAGAATATGGCGAGGAAAATTTACAAAATGACAATAACTATTAAACCCATTCAGCTTTTCAATTAAATATATGAATAAATATCTAATCGTTAACAATAATAGTAAACTAGCATATAATGTATACAAATTATTTCAACCATTAAACGTATATGCTTCTTGCATTTTATACATCAACTAGCCTTAGAGGGCGCTTCGCGCCCATCTTCTAAATTAATTGTGAACATGTTCTCTTTGTGTACATCGTAAAACAAAACAAAAATAATTCGCGGATTTTCACAAAAAAATTCGTGGATTTTCAATATGTTCAAAAATTTAATGAAGGTTGAATTTTGATGGAGACAAATATTTGAAATTTTGATCATTCATAAACCTTCCCTGTGGTCACGTGATGTCCTACAAAAATGTTGGGCCCGATCGGTTCAGCCGTTTTGACGTTTATTGAATACAAACAAACAAACAAACACCAAAACAGAAAACAGACAGACAAGCCAAATTTATGACAAGCCAAAGGAAAGTATACCAGTAATATGGTATATTAGGAAAGTATAGGAAAGTATACCAGTATGATTGTATACGTAGGAAAGTATACCAGTATGATTGTATATGTAGGAAAGCATAGAAAAGTATACCAGTATGATTGTATACTTAGGTAAGTATTGGAAAGTATACCAATATGATTGCATACGTAGAAAAGTATTGGAAAGTATAGGAATGAAAGTATAAGATGGTATATTAGGAAAGTATAGGAAAGTATACCAGTAAGATTGTATACGTAGAGAAGTATTGGAAAGTATACCAGTATGATTGTATACTTAGGTAAGTATTGGAAAGTATACGTATACGTAGGAAAGTATAGGAAAGTATACTAGTATGATTTTATACGTAGGTGAGTATTGGAAAGTATACGTATACGTAGGAAAGTATAGGAAAGTATACCAGTATGATTGTATACTTAGGAAAGTATAGGAAAGTATACCAGTATGATTGTATACGTAGGAAAGTATAGGAAAGTATACCAGTATGATTGTATACGAAGGAAAGTATAGGAAAGTATACCAGTATGATTGTATACGTAGGTGAGTATAGGAAAGTATACCAGTAAGATTGTATACGTAGGTGAGTATTGGAAAGTATACCAGTATGATTTTATACGAAGGTGAGTATAGGAAAGTATACCAGTATGATTTTATACGAAGGTGAGTATTGGAAAGTATACCAGTATAATTGTATGCGTAGAAAAGTATTGGAAAGTATACCAGTATGATTTTATACGTAGGAAAGTATTGGAAAGTATACCAGCATGATTTTATGCGTAGAAAAGTATAGGAAAGTATACCAGTATGATTGCATACGTAGGAAAGTATTGGAAAGTATACCAGTATGATTTTATGCGTAGGTGTGTATTGGAAAGTATACCATGCAGTAAGATTATATACGTAGAAAAGTCTTGGAAAGTATTCCAGAAAGAAGTTGTGTATAGGAAAGAAAGTAGGAAAAGGGAATATATTGAGATACATAAAGATGTAGGAAGGAAGTAATGAATGAACAATATATCTCTTCTGAGCTCCTCTCCTGTCCCGAACCTAAACCTCGGTTGGTTCACCTCAAACCCGTGTTCCTCCCCCGGACCCGGAGCTCTAACCGAACTCAGAACCTTACTCAAGGTCCGAACCACGGTAGACAGACACTGATATGGAACTGTCATCGGAGAAAATGAATCTTACGTTCTAGAAAATATCCTTCAGTCAACATTGTACACCCAATATGTAGATATAATTATACTGTGCCATTCACCATTTTATTTCTTCCCGACAAATTAAATATCAAAAACTGAAATCAATTTTTGATTAGACTTCATAATTTAAAAACTTCCGAATAAAATAATGCCAAATCGCGATTATTCGAGAAACTGGTAACATTTTAATACGTAGATACATAATGACACGGAACCATTAATTAATGGAAATAGCGTGCATCAATTTTTATTGGAGATGCAAGATTAAACAAATGAAAAGTTAAGAAAGGAGGGGTCCAAGAAAGGATAATTTTAGAAGGAAAGAAGAGATCTAAGAAAAAAAGGATGGATATCCATGATAGAATTGATAGATCTTAGACATAAAGGATGAATGGTTGGATCTAAGAAAGAAGGGATGAATAGATCTTTAAAGAAAAGATAGGGATATGTAAATCCAAGAAAGAAAGGGTGGATGGATGGATCTAAGAAAGGAAGAATGTAAATAAGCAAGACAGGATAAATTTTAAAAAAGGATGTATCTAAGAAAGAAAAGATGAATGGATCAAAAGAAAGAAAGAATGGATGGCTCTAAGAAAGAAAAGAAGGAAAGACTGGATGGATCTAAAAAGTGAGAGTGGAAATAAGTAGAAAGAATGGATTCTAGAAAGAAAGGGTGGAACTCAGAAGGAAGGATTAAGCCAAGAAGAGATTCACTAAAAAATAAGAAGAAAAACTAATTAACATGAATTATCATAAAAGTTAATAAAAATGAACTAAGATTTTGAATAAAAATAGAATGAAGAAAAGAGAGTGATTGTTAAAAAAAGTAGCAACATGGCGGATTTGTCCGGTGTTCTTTTTAATTTAGTGGATTTCATAAATATTTCCCAACATTGAAATAAATTTCGTTAGGAATTAATCGGTGTGATAAATACAAATAGATAATATTTTTGTTTCATTCCATGAAATTCAAATAAAGAAAAAAGTTGAAAGCACACGATGGTGCATAGCTGTGCATGGCTGTGCTCCTAAAAAGGAATGTTGTCGAATCTAAAATAAATGAATAATTACTTCAAAAGAGTGAAAGAGTAACAAGAAATCATAGTTTTAAAACATAAAATGTTCTTTGGTCAAATTATATTGTTTAAGTTTGTCTTTGATTTCTATTTTTAACTTTGCATTGATTTTACAGTCAAATTGAAAGAAGACAAAGTTAGAATAAAACCTTTAAATATTTTAAAAGTTTAGAAGAAACTAAATCAAAAATATTCACTTGACAAAGATTTCATATACGTGTGTGTTTTTGTGAATAAAGTTAGATATCTTATTTTTGAATAATTTTATTCCAATTTTGTAATTGTTAAAAGGTCATCACGCAAATATTTAATCATGGAATTTTTAACATTTCTAAAGTTTAAAGGAATTGAGTCTTTGCCACAAACCAAAATTTTCTAATTCCTATATCGTTAGCAACATGATGGTGTAAACCTTTGTTTTTTCAAACTTAGACTTTATAATCAACAGGATTCATAGTTGGATTGCAAAGATAAAGGGATTACAAAATCGAAGTTTGTGGCAAAGTTTAAGACTCAATTCCTTTAAATTGAAATATTTTTTTTTGGCAGAAAAAATGCATTTTATTACAGTTCTTTACATAATTTCCGCTTTATACAGGTAATGTTCAGTTACAAGAATTCATCTTTCTCCGTTTTTTTTTCTTCAGAAAAGAGATTTTAAAATCTGCTAGACTGTACAGTGTACACAGATTCTTAGAGAAATATAAGAAAATGTTTTAAACGACATTTATTTTGACTTGAAGTTGAATTTTATCTAAATATTCTATTCCATAGATATTATAGACAACTGGACTCCATAGATATTATAGACAACTGGAGATGTCGATATTTTGTTCTTTTTCCCTTGAATAGATATGATTCTGCCTTCTCTTTTTAAACTTCAACTGTTTCCAACCCTTGATTCTTCGTTTCAATTTCAATTTCTTTTTGTTTGTAAAACTATTTTTTATTTTAAAAAATCGTTTTATCAGAAAAGTCTTCCAACATATTGTCCAGTGTAAAAGAAATAACATTTTCATTTTTTAATCTCCTTCATCCTTAATGTTCTCAATACTACTTTAGTAGTTTTTCCTTGCTCTAAGGAGATTTTTTAATTTTAGCATTTGGTTGGTTCGTAACTGATAAGTTTTTAAGTTCTTTAGTTAAAAATAATAAGTTTTGTTGAGATTGCTTTATACCTGTTTTAACTTTGTAAAAAATTTTGATACGTTGATAAGTTAAAAGTAGATACGTTTTAAAGTTATTAAGTAACAAATTTGATAAGCAGTTAAGTTCTTTAAGCTATAAGTTTAAAGTCTGATAAAAACTTATTTAATTAGTAAAGGGATAAGTTGATAATTTGATTGGTTGATGGGTTAAGAGGTGACAAGAAAGTTGCCAAGTTGAGAAGTCTATGAGTTAATTGAAAAGTTATTAAGTTGATATTTGATGAGTTGATGTATTGATAAGTTGATAAATTGATGAGTTGATAAGTTGATAAGTTAATATGTTGATAAATTCAAAAGTTGATAGGTTGAAAAGTTGATAAGTTGATAAGTTGATAAGTTGATAAGTTAATTAGTTGATAAGTTTAAGTTCATAATTTGATAAGTTAATAATTTGATATAATTTGATAATTTGATAATTTGATAATTTGATAATTTGATAAGTTGATAATTTGATAAGATGATAATTTGATAAGTTGATAATTTGATAAGTTGATAATTTGATAAGATGATAATTTGATAAGTTGATAAATTGATAAGTTGATAAGTTGATATGTTGATAAATTGATAAAGTGATAAATTGATAAGTTGATAAATTGATAAGTTGATAAGTTGATAAGTTGATAAGTTGATAAATTAATAAGTTGATAAGTTGATAAGTTGATAAATTGATAAGATGATAAATATAATAAGTTGATAAGTTGATAAATTGATAAGTTGATAAATTGATAAGTTAATAAGTTTAAAGATTAAAAGTTTAGAAATGTTGAAAAATGTCAGAGGTTGGAGGATTTATAAAAAGTGTGAAAAGTATATTGTCAGCACACTATATATAGAAGGATGAGTTGAGAACAGCAAAGATTGCAGATTTTCATATTTAGAAATATTTAGAAATATTTATCTCTCAATATACTTATGCACATTTTGCAAAGGAGCACTAATATCGTGTCATTAAAGGATAGAAGTTTTTTGTTTGCTGGTTTTTAATGCAATAAATGTGTACTCTAACGATATACTTTGATTCTTTAATAATACGAATACTTTTGATTATTTAACAAGACATCCTAATATTAACATATTATACCTGAACACTATATAGATATAGAGAAAATAAAAACTTTCCACACATCATAATATTCCACTTCCTATAACTTTGCAACCTGATGGTTTAAACATTTGATATTTCAAAATATACCTAAAATAAAAAATTCTTAGTTTGAAATATAAAAGGTTTCAAAGCTATTTAAATAGGAAAATTTGAACTTGGGGAAAGTGTTTAGTGAGGGAGGGAACCCCCAGACGCCATGAGCCTCCACCATACAGACATAAGCCTCCTAGATTTGCCCGGCAGACCGAGCCTCCGCTATTTAGTAAATGAGCTTCAGCTATACTGCACAGCTTCCTTATAACTGTTGGTTTTTACTTGTAAAACAAAATTGTTTTCTTCGTTTTCAAGAAATGTAACTTATATTGACTCATAAAGTGGTTTATAAGATTTATGTTTTACACAGTAAGGAGGCTATTTGGAACTTCTTTTCTGAATTGAACTTAGTTTATTTTGTTTCAATCTTTGATTTAAGCAATACCTTTTTTGGGGAAATTTTGTTAGATTTAGATTATTTGTCAATGTCAAATTTTTAATAATATTAATCTAATAAAAATTAAAAAAAAGGTATCGCTTAAATCAAAGATTATAAAATATCACAAAAAAATTACTTTAAGAAGTTTTTCTCTTAATGTTTTCCTTTTTTCCTAAAAATGTTTCAAGTTTTATAAATCAATTTAATAGTCATAATAAGTCACTATTTATAATAATTGACTTACTTCTGAGCCCGCGATTTAAAAAATTTGGTTCGACTCAGGTCTAGATGTCGTTGCGCCTTATTTACGGCTTGGGCTTTTGGATTTAAGTTGCACCTAATTTTCCGACAGGGGCTGAAGTGCAAAGCTCGGGCGTAAAGTAGGGAAAGATTTTCTTCAAGTTTTACAGCTGATTTGACTGAATGCCGCGCTCAATTAAAAGCATCAGTAATTGGGGGTTGAATTTTGTAGAAACAGAGTAAATAATTTTGATGGGATGCCTGCGTAGAAACTAACAGCAGTTGGGGTGGGGGAGGGGGAGGAGCGGAGCAAGCTGTTTTTTGGTTCGAGTGTCAACTTTGGTACCGTGTCAACTTTTTGTACGAGTGTCAACTTTGGTACAAGTTTCAACTTAAGTGTCAACTTTGGTACGAGTGTTAATATTTTGTACGAGTGTCAACTTTTGGACCCAGTGTCAACTTTGGTACAAGTGTCAACCTTGGTACAAGTGTCAACATTTGGTATGAGTCTCAACTTTGGTGTGAGTGTCAACTTTGGTAAAAGGCTCAACTTTGGTATGAGTGTCAACTGTGGTACGAGTGTAAACATTTGGTACAAGTGTCAATATTTGGTACGAGTGTCAACTTTGGTACATATGTCAACTTTTGGAACCAGTGTCAACTTTGGTACAAGTGTCAACTTTGGTATGAGTGTCAACATTTGGTATGAGTGTCAACTTTTAGTACGAGTGTGAACTTTGGTATGAGTGTCAACTTTAGTATGAGTGTCAACTGTGGTACGAGTGTAAACATTTGGTATAAGTGTCAACATTTGGTACGAGTCTCAACTTTGGTACAAGTGTCAACTTTGGTACGAGTGTGAACTTTGGTATGAGTGTCAACTTTAGTATGAGTGTCAACTGTGGTACGAGTGTAAACATTTGGTACAAGTGTCAACATTTGGTACGAGTCTCAACTTTGGTACAAGTGTCAACTTTGGTACAAGTGTCAACTTTGGTACGAGTGTCAACTTAGGTATGAGTGTCAACTTTTAGTATGAGTGTCAACTTTGGTAGGAGTTTCAACATTTGGTATGAGTGTCAGCTTTAGTAAAGTGTCAACTATGGTACAGTGCAACATTTGGTACAAGTGTCAACCTTGCTACAAGTGTCAACTTTGGTATGAGTGTCAACATTTGCTACAAGTGTCAACTTTGGTATGAGTGTCAACATTTGGTACAAGTGTCAACTTCGGTATGAGTGTCAACATTTGGTACAAGTGTCAACCTTGCTACAAGTGTCAACATTTGGTACAAGTGTCAGCCTTGGTATGAGTGTCCACATTTGGTACGATTGTCAACCTTGGTATGAGTGTCAACATTTGGTACAAGTGTCAACCTTGGTATGAGTGTCAGCTTTGGTATGAGTGTCAACTATGGTACAGCTAGTGCAACATTTGGTACAAGTGTCAACCTTGCTACAAGTGTCAACTTTGGTATGAGTGTCAACTTTGGTACGAGTGTCAACCTTGCTACAAGTGTCAACTTTGCTACAAGTGTCCACATTTGGTACGAGTGTCAACTTTAGAACTAAAAGTTGTGTGTAAGGAATTATGACCCGAGCCGAAGCTTTTAAATTTCAGACTCTAATCTTTGATTCACTTTTTATGTCACTATTTCGAAAAAATACAAAAAATTCTTTACTACATGTAAAATCCAAGAGTTTTAATGAAACTATTCTGTAAAACGAAGGTTCTTACTGCATGGCGGAGGCTCTGTCTGCCTAGCAAACCTGGGAGGCTTGTGTCTGCATAGCGGAGGCTCACGGCGTCCTGGGGTTTCTTCCCTCGTTTAATACGCTAGTATTTTACAACACATACGGTTATTGTTTAAAACTTGCAATGAATCAACAGAACAGATTTTTGTGTTGCAGAAATTACCAAACTAAAATATTTTTATTCTAGTGATTTTTTTTGAGAAAATACATGTATCCTTGTACGCTAATGAACATACAAACATAATATTATAAGAATAAAATATAGACAATTATTCCAGTTTTAAAAACTGTGAACACTGCTAATTATTTAAGCCTAATCTTTAGTTTTAGCTTTTTGTAGCAAGCTTGTCGATATTTTTATTGGCGACCAAACGATTCCTGTTTTAGTTAAATGTATCTATATGTTTCTAAGTTGTTTCAAGTCAAATGATTTTCTATTTCCAGTCTGGTGGCTTCTCAGCTAATCCGAAACCAAATGTTCGTCGAGTCATTTTTTAATTCGTCCAGCACTGACGGCTTACCGCCAGTTTGGGACGATTTTATGAAAATTGACGGGTTTTTATTTGGGTAGGTTTAATGTTAACTGTAGGTTTTCTTAGTGGGTGATTTTTTATTAGACTTTTTAGAAACATTAAACAAATTCTTACTTTGTATAAAACTATACTGTAGGGACTCTTCCTGGTGAGTAAGTTTTCCTCCAGGTTTGTGAACAGTCCTATCAATTCATCAGAAGCTAGAGTTTATATGGCTTGGGTAAAACTTAAGTATAGATCAATCTAATATTTTTATCTGTTTGGAATTTTGATAAAAAAACAACAG